CGAAAAGGAGAAGACGACCGTGAAGGGAAAGAGCGCGAGCGAGAAGGGGAAGCAGCTGCGTGGACAGGCTTCACCACGGGGAAAGGACTTCATCGAGAAGCCAAGCAGGGAGGCGGCTGACGAGAAGAAGAAGAAGGTGGTGGTCAGAGAAAAGAAGGAGAAGAGTCCAAAGATGAAGGCCAAGACGGCCAAGCCGAGCGGCGACGGCGCGCCTCCGATAACTGAGGATACCCACCACCGCTCCACCAAGAGACGGCTGTGATCTTGTGCTATCAGGGGTCGAATAAGCTCAAGTGCAGTTGTACATAGTGAACAACATACCAGCAGTGCTTAAAGCTCTTGTTGTACACACAGTGTACTAACTGATGGTGAGGCTTCTGAAGTCCATACTGGATATTGACTGGCTCAAGGCATGTTGCCTACATGATGTCTCAACTGGTTTGTGGCTTGCTACCATATGTGAGAACTAGCTTCAGGACACAAGATGTTCTGCTTGCTCCCCACCATACCCACCCTTTCCTCCCATCCATAACACAGTGTTCATGATCAGCACTTGTCTCAGTCAAACCACAGTGTTTGTACAATGGATGGACAATCTTGCACTTTAAAACAAGAGTGGCAAGCACGGACAAGTGAAAGTCAAGGGATGTATTCAGCGTTTGTCGTATTTGTTGCGGTGGTGGCCGAGAGCATCGGGCTCGTCGTGCGCCACTTGGTGGCCGATCGGTCGGGGGTCCATATAGTAGCACCCCACTCCTTGGTGTCTGCACACGTACTCGTACTGCAGATCGATCGCTCGTATCACCCCCGACCCCACCGCTGCCGGCAACACAAGAAAACTACGTAAGGCGGCGCGTGTGCTGTGCGCGTGTGCGGTCGTGTGATTGTGTGCGGTGCTACCTCGAAACATCCCCATGACTCCGATCGCACTTATCATATAGCCGTAACTGCACAGCGGGGGCTGCTTCCTGCCCCTCCTGCCGGCCAGGTAGTCCCCGTACTCGGGTGGTACGGAGCGGGCGAGGCACCAGCCCGGCCAACTATGAGAGCCCAGTCTTTTGGTGCCGATCGAAAGGCCGCCGGCCAGACGTGTGCGTGCGTCGCGTTGACG